GCCCCCGAAAGTGGTATCTTTCAAACGATATTGCGGGCAATACCACATTTCGGGAAACACACAAAGCCGCTAATAGCGTTTCATTATCTTCTTATTACCCCGATATGCACGAGGTAATGAGAGCCGCCCTCTTCTCCTCCCCTCTCCTCGCCCTCAGTACCGAAATCATCGCTGAAGATATCGCGCCCGTATCATCCGTGCTATGTGCGCATCGTTCGTTCATTTTTGCCCTCCCCGCATCTTGTGCCTCTCGTTTTTCGATTAGCCGAGTCGCTCCATCGCGACACCCTCCTCCGCCAAAGCCGCACGCAAGCTCGTTTTTATTCGTAAATTAAACGTCAGACGTTCTCTTTTAACGAGCGCGTAGTCCCTTTACGCGCGCGCGCCTTTGTATACCTCGCTCCATATAATTATGTTATATATATATATATATATATAGAGGTGTATGCACACATACGTATATTTTTTTTAAAGCTGAATGAGTTGACGAGAAATGAGGGGGAAGATAAATGTGATGTAATGGCGGTGGCTGTCAGAGGGAGGGGGGTGCAAGAAAGGGTGATGGACGAATTAAAGGCGGACATCGATACCTTACGCTGAGCGAACATCCGACGGGTTTGTAGGCGAGTCTTCCGACTTGCGATCGATCGACCCTCATCATGAAATAATGAGCGACCACACGAGCCGGCACATGATTGCTGCGCGCGGAATTTTTTCTCTCGCTTCCTCTCTCCCTCTGACGCTTTCTCGCTCCCTCTCTCTTCCACCTTCCTTTCGACAAATAACCGTGCACGTAATAACGTATTTTTTTTTTCATTTTACCGAACTGAATTATTTACTTCCACGCGATAATCATCGAAATGGTTCCATTTGATAGAAGGGAATCTCCACTTGATTGATTGACCGCGAAACCTGTCACTGATAGCTGTAACTCTGACACTCTAGGTACTGATTGAAGTTTAGCGGGGGAATCAGCCGTCCGCCTATGCCCGTCAATGTCAACGAACGAAACTTTGCGCCGACGAATTCGTCTGTTTAAAGACTCCCTTTCTCCTCCTCTCTTTTCTTCTCTCACGATCTGGTTATTCTGAATCGAAGTCAGCCGGACTTTGATCAGTCAATATTGATCAGTCAAACTGCCATTTAATCGAGAGATCGCGGAGAGCGTATAATTTTTACACATGTTTGAGACTGTTATCGATAACCTCGTTGACAAACATTAGCAGACTAATCGTACATGCAACGCGGCGACTGGGAAAGGGGATATTCATTCGAGGCGGGGGGGGGGGACCATGCGATATTCATCGCATGCTCTAATGAGCAATTAGCGCGAGGCGAGGTATAAATCGTCCCGACGAAACCGTGAACACCGTATTGCACTCGAGCAACGTGTGACGGGACGAAGCCAAAAAGCAGCTCAAACAATGCACAATGAGAATCGTTCGAAAACTCTCGCCCAACCTGATTTCCTCGATCTCTCTCGAGCAAATTCGCGCCGTGCGAGTGATCGAGCATTATCTGCAAAACCGCTCTCGTCGATTTCCGAAATATTTCAACAGTTGATGAAGGGGGACACGGGGGGAGAGGGGAACAGAAGTGCCGGAGTAGCTATTGCAGCTATGTGAACGTGGCCAAACGCGAAAATAATCGAGGCGACTGAAATTACCAGTGAGCTTTAATGGGTTAAATTGCTCGCGCACGGCGCGCGGTCACATGGTCGGAAATACATGTGCATGTGTATATTCCGTGGAAAATTGATTTTCCTCGAAGGCGGAATGCCTTGAGCGGCGTCGTTATCGAGGACACGCTGCGTCCCCACACGCGTATGCGGCATGATGCCGCCCGGACTTCCTGCACATACCGGATAAATTACCAGGAGTCGTATATTTTAACATTCTGCCGCACGGCAGGTCGAGTTACGTCTCATTATTCATTCGCCCCGCGTCGCATTTGCCACACAGCCAGGGACGTTATTTCGCACCCCCGCGCTATTTGCGACGCCGAGAAACGTAATATATTCTTCGCTTCGAAGACACTTCCGCCTCCCTCTCTCCCTCCCTCTCTCCCTTCCTTTCACTCCCGCGTGCGTGCGACGCCCGGAGAATTTACGTTGTTCGCGGCACTCGCAATTTCATAATGTTGCGCCCTCCTGAATTGTTCTCGCGTTAATGGCCGTTTAATCGTTCCGCCCGCGAACACGTGTCCATGCGCTGTCACCGCGTCACCGCCGTGAGGTACTTTGCGTTTCGGTCAAGGTGATAATCTGAGATGAGCGAGAACGACGAGCGTGCATGGAGACACTAAGTATACAAGACAGACGTCGATAGCGGTGTTAAGAACGACTCGAGTTACACGAGGAACGCGTAGCATGCGAACGGCTACGTTTCGACAAAGTGGGATAGCATGTTCAGTCGTGTTTCATAGGATTACGGAAAACCGGTATGGGGTGGAGTGCGAAAAGGGTTGCCCGAGTAAACCTTGATGAACGCGCAAAAACACATCGAGCATGGAGACTTTGAACGTACGATTCTTTGGTGTGCGTCTCGTTGAATTGGCGCGAGTAAAACTAAAATAACCGAAATAATAAATACTAATGCAAATGATAAAGAAGAAAGAACGCGGAGATGATATACGCCTGACGCGGCGCAAGACGTCGTCGTCGAGTTGATGTTGAGTCTGCCGGCGAAAACTCGCCGGGATGGAAAAAGAAAAACAGCAAGGGAGAAGTATACTTCGCGAGAGATCTAAAATAACAGTTAGGTAAGCCGATAAGGGTCGGAAAATAGCGCGTCACGTGCAACGCTGTCACCGTTGCGAGCTACTTCTCCGCGGGGTTGAGAAGTTACTTTTCAAGAGTAACTCGTTACCATTACCCCATTAGTCAGTGACCGTTGCTCGTTTTGAAAAGTAATATCTCACCGTCACCGTTGCTGAAGAAGCAACGACTAAGTTGCTGTTTCCGTTGTTTTCTCCACTTGGAAGCCGGGAGACCTTTTTTCACGACTTATCGACGCCTGTTTCGCCTGCATTTATTTTATTTACGATCATAGATGAAAGAAACGTCCTACACATAGTATCCTGCGTGCGCAAAGCGCCGCAGGGCGCAACATTCGTATCCAGCTTTTTCTATTCACGCACGTGCAAATTTATAACGGATGAGCCTGATACACTTGATGAGGAAGGATACACTTTCGACATTTCCACATTTGATGTTTTTCACTCATTTCAATTTGATTAATTAATTAATTAATTTGTTTCGATTTTTGCGCCTAAAGCGACGGCAGTACGTGGTTTCATCGGAGGTACGCTCGGTTATTCCCATTGAGCTGTATAATATACTGGAATGAATTTTCCGATATTATAGAATTCCTAAACTATAGAATTCTATGACTCACTTATGTAAAAGATAGATATGTAGCTGGGATTTGTCTCTTTTTGCGCACTATTAACTTAGCTACGAACATACAATATTCACCACCATTTGACGTAGTGCAAACTTGTAGTTTTTTTTGTATATATATATATATATATATACAATATCTGATAGACCAATGTTTTCAACTTCAAATGGTAATATAACAGCATTAATCAATCAGAGAGTCGTTGACAAAGATAACGATCAATCTAGCATATGCATGTCCTTCTCTACAAGCTGGGCCATCCCCACTCTTGACAGTTCACTCGAATATAAATGTATCATAGAGTTCAATGGTTATTCCGGCCATTTCACAAAATTTCACGTAACAAACAAATGTAGCGTTCTGAAACGTCGCGAGAAACAAGCGGGCGAACGTAATAGCGTACTGATTAACCGGTTACTCGCGCACATCCTGGATATTTACGTCGAATCTCATCGGCTAATTAAGGACGGGAAACGGCGCGGAGCAAATGTTAAAAGGAGCGAGGAAACGAGAGAATACGAGCTCAAAGTTTCCTTTTTCTCCCCAGAGTAAGTTTAATCAGGCGACGTTTCGTGGGAGTAGCTTTAAGTTCGGCTTGCATTTTGTTTTATTTGCGAACTATCAAATTGGATCTGCGGGATAGGTATAATCCTCTCTCCTGACCCCTTTTCTCCTCCTACCCCTTCTCTTCCCGCTCTTCTTCCTCCTGCTCCGTCTACTTCCTTGCCGACGGAAGTGATATCAACTTCTCCGATTCTTGAGACGTTGAGACGCCGCTGCCGGCGCGGTTTTTGCAAAGCACCCTTCTCATCGGGAAATTTTAAATTAGCTTGTTGTCTTGCCGGGGCGAAAGGAAGTTTGAACGAGAGAGTTTCGACAAGAAGTGAGAGAGTAACTTATCGGATGACTATGCGCTTTCTCGTACGGAAATGTTTCTCTCCGTTCTGTCTCTACCTTTCTTCGACGAGTACACGTCACGTCAGACCGATACGAAGCCGCCGGTGAGTTTTCTCCGCTGGAATCTTGCAGTTCACTTTCCAGCTTCTCTTCTTTTCTCCCTGGACCCTCATACCCGATTATCTGTTCTTTGTGCAAAGTTTGCCTCTGCCGATAACAAGAGGCGCAATTTTAAGCGGACCAATAAGGCTAATAAATATTCCGTGCGTATCATCGATATCAAACTTTCATGCAACTTTGAAACTTTTCTACTCTTCAACAACGTGCAATAACGAGAATCTACGATTGCGCGACAAATGTGCGAAACGAAATGTCTCGTTAATTATACAATTAAATGTAATTGATCATCTCTTATTGATGGATTTCAATGTGAGAGTGACGCGACGGTGCAACGTATGAGTTAATAACTTTATCGCAGATATTAATGGTAATTTGTGCATCGTGCGTTAAATGCACCCACATTGATTCGTATTCAGAACCGAGTAATTTCGCCCAAATTATAAAACACATGCAGATATATTGAAATGAGAAAGAAAATATCGCAAGTATTACCGAAGCTCATAGCACTGAGAAATCAATAAAGTCGACGTTGATTTTCCCCGTCGCCATAAAGTTCTTATTTTTCTTTCTTTTCCGTTGCAGTAATGGCGTACAAATATTGCGACGAGAACGGCACATGGTACCGGCATCCCGAGTCTAATCAGATATGGAGCAATTACACGACCTGCGTGAATCTGCAGGATCTGAGCGTGAGTAACATTTCATATATTATTCCAAAACCGTCCAAAGGGGAGAGATTGGCCAGCGACAGCCAATGTTGCCGATCACCGCATCAAACAAATATCGAGAGGCATCGAGCAGCATAAAGAAACATCGCGAGGGCTCTCATCAGGATCGCGCGCGCGCGCGAGAGAGAGAGAGAGAGAGAGAGAGAGAGAGAGGAAAAATCTTGGAAGATTCTCAAAAGAATTTTTAATACTGTCGCGCTGAGCTGTTTTATCGCGGCTATTTAATTCGGCCCTCTCGTCTCCCATTTATGTTCGTCTTCTTCCATCTTTCGCCCTGCCCGCTGGGAAATAACATGTAAGTTCGCTCACGCGAGGCCCAGTTACATCTTCCCCGACGGTCGTGCAACGTCCTGACACGAATTTTCAGTTTTTGCCCCGATTATTGCCATCCTAAGGACTTCTCCGCGACGGCTGCAACACGATGCACATCGACTCGCGTATATCCCCCGCAGAAAGTAATATCGTTTGAGCGAGCGAACCGGTACGCGCCATTGTTGAAATATCTGAAAAGCACGCTGCATGCGGCAAACGGGTATTACGTATTTTGCATTCGCGACGGTCGAACCCGGGCGGGACAATTTTAGCACGCGACTTCGCAATCCATCTCGCGGAACGATACGCTGCGCGACGGCCGACATTATTCGCTTAAGCATCGCTGATACTTCGTCCATCTTGAATCATAATGAGGAATTATAATGAGCAAGAGTTTGTGTGCGATTTGCGCTTAAAGAATTGATCTCCCGTCCGCCGTGATCTCCATCCGTCCCGCGGGACGAAATTTATCGTAAGGCGCGACGCGGAGACCTCAAGTTTATTTTATACTTTGAACATCAATGAATACACTGTGAACATTTCAATTCCATTGATCTTATCGTTTCTGTTAAAAAAAATTCGTAAAAAAAGCAGCCTGCTCCGCGTAATGTAATTCCTCCCTTAACGTGAAAGTGAATCACGAAACGTCAGAGGACCCGATGCGACAGCCGGAAAATTACACCGAAGTCTCCGAATTCTCGATGTTGAATGCGCGAATTCTTTGGGAAATCTGTCGTCAGGGTCTGCGATCTGTACGACGGGGAATCCGCGTGAAGTATTTCTTGGGATCTAATCCGATTGCCCGCGAAATCCGTGCAGATCCGAGTTATCCGCAACTCGTATGGAAATTTCGCAAACACTCCCAAGTATAGCATGTGTGATTTCGATTAGATTAGCCGGACTTGTTCCAAGTATCCTATTGCGATACCAATCGCGAATCTCATTCTTACCCCAAATGTAGGTTGCCAGAACTTTAGCTGTATTCCATCGAATGTACGACAGTTGAGGTAAAACTGGAATTCTCTGTTCGACAGCACGAACATGTATCGCACTGCAGCCAGAAAGAAAAGCATGATTTCTCACGATACTCCTGTTTCAATTCGGGGAAAAAAATGGTATTCCCGATTGCTATCGTCAACAACTGTCGGGTGAACGAGAGTTCGGGAATTCTGATCGAACTGTATCTCTGGGAAAGTTATACAGGAAATTCCTACAGAAGAAATTCCGCAGTTGGCGCCTCTCTTTTCCCTTGTTCAGTTGTTCAGCCGGGAGGAGTTGATTGATAAACGATCACTTCGGCGAACAGCGAACACCCCCCCCCCCGTTGCCCTCCTTTCCTTCTTGCCAGTCAAAGTGTAAAGTTCAGAGATACATCGTCGTGTCTACGCCAAATTTTTCCAACGTTCTCCAAGCGCGCTTTCGCGGTTCTCTAATGTCGAGAGGTCACACGTTACCAACGGCCGCGATAATGCAATAAAGCGTTTGCCGTTTCGCTACAAAGCGGCTTTTACGTAACGCCATCCACGTCGACCCTTCTCGCGTACTTGACAAGCGCTATTCATTAAGACCAGCTTCATTTCGGGACCCGCGCGCACAGCCTGATCAACCTTTGGAACGTGTTCCGTCATAACCATGCTGGTCCGTCACGTCGCACGGCGTTCAGCCTTTAACGCCGGTTGACATCAACATCGATACTTCATGCACTCTTTTGTCACAACGCCGTTGAAATTGCGAGTACAATTCCGCGCCACGGAAAGCGCCCTCGAAAGCGAGAAGTCTCTTTGCTGATATAGAAAAAGACAGCGCGCGCCGATGGTGAACAAGCTTACGGGGGGAGGCGGGGGGGGTAGGAGGAGAATGAGCGAACCGTAAAACGGAATACAAATTGGAGGCATCGACCTGCAGTCTCGGGTTTTGCAGCGAAAATATGTGAACCGCGAGCTACGTGGACGGTCTGTGTGTAATCTGGCTTTGCGTCATGCGCGCGATGATGGATTGTATATTGTTATGTATTACGGATTACGGCAGAATGGATCTTTGTACTCGTCAAGGTCGAACGGGATAATCGGGGCTAATCATTGGGCGAATAAAGCGATGGGGCGATTTCTCAGTGGTAACAATCGCGATAGCGGTGAATCACAATATGAATTTCGTAACAAAGAGGGAAAGAAAGAAACAACTGGCGTAGGGAAGGAGAAATAGAAATATAGATGAGATACGGCGGAGAAAAATTCATGGAACCGAAACGTCTTTGTTGATACGGAATGAAAGGATATGAACGAGATAACGCGGAGTGAGCGAGGCACGAGGCGGAATACAAATTAGAGGTATCGAGTCGTAATCTCGGATTTTGCGGTGACAATATGAAAGCCACGAGATATATAGATGAGCTGTATAATCTGGCGTCATACCGCGCGCAATGATGAATTATGCTAAAGTAAAGAATCCGACCACTTTGAAAAAAAATATTTACTATTTGTTTTAACAATAATGAACGAAAGTAATAATTATTGTAAAAAAAACTTCAATATTTGGCGATTAGTTGAAAAAAATATACCCAATTTGATACTTTTGTATTAAAATAAAAATTAATTAAATAAGTATGCACCCATTATTTTGCCAAATCATGGGTGCATGCTTATTTAATTAATTTTTATTTTATATAATATTATATATAATATACGTGTTATATTTCCCGTTAGCACATACTAATTTTCCTAATTGCGGTCAGGCACTGGGACAAATTATATTCAAACATTGGGCCATAACCTGTTTCGACTGTCTGGTACATTAATGCGCTTCATTACTTATGTAAATATTTCATTAATAATTATATATATATATATATATACATTTAAATCATTTTTTTCTACTTAAAGGAATCTAAGTTTTCGAATAAATGCAAATATTTATATCAAACCAACTATTCTTAATATTATGTATTGTATTTTTTGTGACGATCTAAACGTCCGGTTACTGGAACATTTATTGCGGATTATCGGTAAATCGAATCTTCGCCAAGATCCAACAGGATAATTGAAAATCGAGGCGATAATTGAGGCGATACGTACAATTGTCGCGGTATAAATTTCTGAAGAATAGAAATGGCTAATAAGAGGCGGCAGATGCGACGGGAAGAAATATGAGATGTCAGTGCCCGCGATATTACCGGGTATCAAAAAAATGAAAAAAAAAAGAAGAGACGTTGAATATGCCACGGCGTGTGGAATCTTACGGCGGACCCATATAATCTGAAACGTACGCGAATTTAGAATGTGAGGGACGTCGTGATGAGTGTAACCGTCGTAAAAGTAAGCGTCCAATTTCGCGGATGAGAGGCACAATGTGACTATCTCGTAATCTTACCTCCTCCTCTTACTCGACCTCCTGCGGACCACATTGCTGTACGTCAAATGAAAATGCAAAATTAGTTCAATATTTCGATATTACTTCGCTTTCCCTCGCGGCCTAATTGCAATTTAACCGCGATTACTCCCGTCGTTCCGCTCAATTGCAGCCATTCGTGTGACGTAGCGGCAAATGCCGAAACGGTGAAGGATACTCGAACGGGCGCAGGCCGCGTTTATTTATGAATAGCGATAAGACGCGCCGCGCGCGCGCGCGCGTTTCCCTCTTTGGTCCGTAACGAGGTCGGTCGGTTTAGCGGAAAAGCTCACGGGGGAGAAGATATATTTTCGCATATACCGCCCACTCTCTCGCATTCTCCCGCGCAATAATCCACCCGCCTGTTTACTTAATCCTGCCATTTCTTCTATATCCCGCGGAGCGTGAAATTCCAAAAGGATTCATTAAACTCTGCTAATGACACCGCGGCAGATACGGTTACCCTCGTAACGTTACGCGTAACGTGTCCTTTTATCTATTTCTGCAAATTACAGAATAATGTCTCTCTCTCTCTCTCTCTCTCTCTCTCTCTCTCTCTCACTCACTCACTCTTTTCCTAGACAGACATGTTCCACAGGACATGTTCCGAGGAGGAGTTTTTAATTCACACGTGTCTGACGTGAGCTGAATTCGCGGCGCGTACGTTGCATTTTCAAATGAAGCCGGCTCTTTGTGCTCGCATGGTATATTACGTGTGTGTGCGTGTATGTGTACAACAAAAGCCGTTGAATTCATTGAGACACAATGAACGTTTACACATGATCGCTGATCCACTGTAGCTCCTAACGGCTAGAGATGTGCGAATCAAGAATTTTTATGTCGAATCGAATCGAATCGAATCTCATTTTTTAAATTCGAATTCGAATCGAATCGAATAAAATCGAATCGAGTTATTAAAAAATTTAAGATGACTATGCAAACATGCAAATAATAATGGAAGATTTTAATATGAAAGGGAATATTAATATTGTAATATCATCTTAAAGTAAAATATATATTAAAATATTTAAAGTAAAGTAATTTATAATAACTAAGTTATTAATTATAAATTAAGTTAATTACAAGTTAAGGGTTCAAACATACACAGACCCAGATGGCCCGTTTTGTAGCTGATGCATGCAAACGATAATATATTTTATTCCTATTCGATTATCTAATCACATTAGATTCGATTCGACTCGAATTCGAATAGTTCGCACTATCTCTACTAACGGCTTTATAACATTTAGCTCTCGTTGACATAA